TCTTAGTGGCAAGTTGCCAATCTGTTACTCCATTTTCTAAGAATTTAGTTTGTACTCCTTAGAACAAAGATATTCTCCTACACAATCACAATGAACCCTTCAAAATTAGGAAATTAGCATTGATACATAACTACTGTTCAGTCCTAGATTCCACTCAAGTATTGCCAGATATCCCAGTAATGTCCATTGTAGTAAGAGAATCTAGGTGAGAACCATATCTTGCATTTAGTGGTCATGTCTTTTGAGTCTTTTAGTTGGAGCATTCCTTAGTCTTTGACTTCTTGACCTTACCTGGCCTTTTTGAAAATTACAGTTCAGTTATTTCATAGGGTCCTTCAGTTTGTGTTCATCATGATTAGATTCAGGTCACACATCTTTTGCAGGAACACGTGTTCTTCTCACGGCATCCTATCGGATGGTGCGTGAATCTGATTTGCCCCATCACTGATCATTTTTACTTCCTATACTTGCCAGGCTCTTCCTGCATGAAGTTATTCTTTTATTTCCTTTGTAATTAGTATGAACCCGTGGTTTCCCATTTTATTCAATGAGTTTCAATCTATTCCTAGTGTTATTCACTTTGATGGTCCTATTGTCCATAATTTGGCCAGTGGGCACTCATTCAAGCTGGCTTCTGTGTCCTTTTGCTATGTCCCCTCACTGTGAGCACTTCCTTGCTCTCAACAATAACATGTGCCAATATCATCTTGTATTTTCCCTGCTCCAGGCCTGGCACCAACCAATTTCCCAAGAAACCCTGGTTCCTTTTAGTAAAGAATAGTATTTAGAAGATGCTAAGTGAGCTTGTTGCTATGGGAGTGTTGCTGCTCCTAAGCCCGCAGGGAACAGAGATGAGAAGTGTGTACCTGGGTGTGTGTGTGTGTGTGTGTGTGTGTGTTCATACCAATACCTCTGATTCCATTGCAACACAACAGGGATTGTTCTAGTTTTCTTCCTTTCTATATTTCCAACTCTCTTTTCTGATAGTAAGAAACCTGGTTCCTGTTATCCTATTCACATATTAATTATTTAATCAATTACTCTGAATGGAACCACTATAAATGCTATTGCCCTGCCCTTTGTGTGGATGTCCTCCTGATCCTTATATGGCTTCATCATCCCTTGTAGAGCTGTGACCCTAGATGTGAATATTCTGCTCAGCCACTGTATTCCCTATATCTGGTTACACTTTCTGGTAGTACCACTGCCCATACCACCAGGACATGCTGAACTTACCCCAGCATGCATGCCTTCCTTATCCTTCTTGGGCACTTGTTCAGGCTCCAACACCCAGTATGAGACAGCCTTGCACACGTTGTCCCTTTTCACTCTGCTTGGGCTGTGCATCTCACACAGGGCTGCCCACGTTTGGGCATCTTACTCATCCTCCCTGGGCTCCAACCCCACGTGTTCTCCTATACAGATGCCCTCCTCACACTACTGAGCTCTGACACTCCAAACATGCTTTCTCTACCTAATGGTTTTAGGACTGAACTAGCCAGGAAGGGAAAGGGTTCTACCTTTTTTGGAGCTTATATTGGATAAATGTTGGGTGTTCTCATTCTGTCTATAGCTCTTAGTATCCCTGATTGATCTTAACTCTCTGATTTTTTTTCACTCAACATCTATTTTTTAATCACTCCTTGCCTTTTTTATTCTGTGTAATTTCTTGAGAATTATCTCTAAGTCCATTGATTCTCTCTTCAGTTGAGTCTATTTTGATTTATTCTCTTGACATTTGTTATATTCCAATGATTATATTTTATCCTAGAAGTAGTATTTGTTTCTTTAAAATTCTGCCTGTTTATTTTTCTATAGGTTGTCTTTTTCCCTAAGGTTTCAAGTTTTTTCTTTTGTCTCTTTAATAGTTTTTTTTAAAGATTTTACTTATTTATTTGACAGAGAGGGAGAGAGAGAGAGAGAGAGCACAAGCAGTGGGAGCGGCAGGCAGAGGGAGAGGGAGAAGCAGGCTCCCTGCTGAGCAGAGATCCTGACATGGGGCTCAATTCCAGGACCCTGGGATCATGACCTGAGCCAAAGGCAGATGCTTAACTGACTGAGCCACCCAGGTGCCCCTCTTTAATAGTTTATTGCAATTTAACATATTTGTTCTTCTTTCACAATGTTTTATATTGTTCTCTTATTATTAGTTCTGGAGATACTGATTGTTCTGTTTACTAATGGTTTATTATTTTCTTGAATGGTTTGTAATTTCTTATTGCAAACTTATTTGCCACTGGAGTTGTTTCTATGAGAATCATATGCAGCCTTGATTGTGAAAGTATCTTCCAAAATGCTTTTTTAAAAAAGAAAAAAGCTTTATTAAAGTGTAATAGACATGCAGTATACTTATATATCTACATATATGTATTGAAAGTGTATTATTGTATATGTTTTAACATATGTGTTCATTCATGAGACAATCACGGCAGTCAAAATAATAAACATGTCTACCATCCTCAGAAGTTTCTTTATTCTCCTTCGCAATCTCTGTAATCCCTGTTCCTTTCTCCTGTTCACAAGCAACCACTAACCTGCTTCCTGTTGCCCCAAAGTAATTTGAATTTTCTAGAATTTTATACAAATGGAGTCATACTGTATTTATTCTTTTTAGCTACTGTTTTCACTCAGCATAATTATTTTCAATTTCATCTATGTTGTGCAAATTAAGAATTCATTCCTTTTTATAGCTGAATAGTATCCCATTGTGTGGCTATACCACAATTTGTTTATCCGTTCACCTCATATGATGGACATTTGAGTTGTTTCCAGTTTTTAGCTATTATAAATAAAACCCTACATGTAGAACTCTCTGTATAAATATTTGCTTTCTTTTCTCTTGGGTGAGACCTAGGGGTGGGTTGACTGGGTAATGTACTGAGCACATGTTTCGCTTTATAAAAAAACTGCAAAACTATTTTTCATTGTGTATTTCCAAGAGCAGCGTATGAGTTCTAGTTGTTTTACATTCTTAACACTTGGCATGATTTTTTAATTTAAAAATTTGAGATATCCTCATAAGTGTGTAGTGTTTTTGAGAGGCCTCCCACTGGTATCATTGACCTGAGAACAATTATTTACGTATATTTCTGCATGTGGGGATTCTGGCATCATATATATATAACAATATTTTTTATTCCAAACCTGTTTTGTGGTTTAGATTTGGTATATTTTTCTTGGGAGATTGGGAAATAAGCTTCCTTATCTTTCTGAGTAGTGTTGGAGTTTTTCTAGATTCCATTTCATTGAGTAAGGAAGGCGTCTTGTCCTTAAATGGAGATTAACACTTAAACTGACTCAGGTCCTGTTTCAGATTTTTCTTAGATTTGCACTGCTTCGAATTCCCTAGACTTATTTACAAGCATGGCCATGAGTCAACAATTAAAACACACGCACACACGCACGCGCACACACAGTATTGTTTCTCTGTGTTTGAGGTAGAAGTCCAAGTTCAGATTACAGTGTTATTGAAACCAGAACTCTTTGGTTAGCTTAGTAATGTGATTAATATGTGTGGTCCTGATAGTCTGAATTGCAAAGCTCCAAATAGTTCCCATAGAAATCTTGGTTTCGTGGTACCTGGGGACCACTTGTGTACTGAGCTAAGAAGTGAACCATCAGGAACTGATACTGAATACCAAACAACTGAACGATAAATAAAATTTTGAAAGCAACCAGCTTATGGGTTAAGCACTGCCTACATCGAATTTGTGCTCGTGGTGTAAATGCATACTCATGTTTACATGTGTGTGTGTGTCTATGTGTAATCAGACATTATAAATAATATATACCATAAAATTTAATAACAGAAGTCCTGTAGGACAGAAGGTTTTCATTTTGTTAACTTTCTCAAGCCAAACGTGGAAAGTAAGCTAAATGTGGGAAGTAAGTTTGGTATCTTCCTCCCTCTCTTATCTTTGACATTTTTTTTTAAATTTTTTTATTTTTTTAAAGATTTTATTTATTTATTTGACAGAGACAGAGATAGCGAGAGCAGGAACACAAGCAGCGGGAGTGGGAGAGGGAGAGCAGGCTTCCCGCCGAGGAGGGAACCCGATGTGGGACCCTGGGATCATGACCTGAGCCGAAGGCAGACGCTTAACGACTGAGCCACCCAGGCGCCCCATCTTTGACATTTTTAATGAGACTAAATATATACCATTAAGTCATAAGAGGAAACTTAACTAATCTACTCTAGACACTTAAAGCATTATTCATCACCAAATTATTTGTATTTCAGACAAGAATGGGGGAAACATTTAACTTAGTGTGTCCCAGACTGTAATGCACATATCGCTAGGTATATTTCAGATCATTTTGGGTGGGACACAGGCAAGCATTTTTTGACAAGTATATATTCATCTTAACCCTTGTAACTAACAAACGAAAGTAGTAATTTCATGAAAATTCTTGTTGAGGAAGATATCAAATACAAAAACGGGTGAAATAAAAATTATTATTAGAAGTAATATAGGTGGAACATGAATATGATAGATATCAGGAGAGTCAAACGTGTATCTTTGAAGACTAGGAAACACTGTTTTTATAGAAAAGATTTACTTCTTAACCACAAAGTTCAGATATTTGTTACTTAGGCGAGGTGATGACATTTTTGGGGAGAGAGAGTATGCAAAGCTGATTTCAAATTATAGTGTGTAGTCAGCTCTAATCTTCTTGAGAGGCCTCGCTGGACTTTGAAGCAAGTCAGGATCACCCATAGTCAAAGCCATGTGTGGAGTGGGTAGACTATTTCTACTCTTGTCTTTGTCAGCATCAATAATCACAAACTGGGCTAAAAGTCGTTGTTGGATGGATTAACACTGGGCATGGTAATTTCAATGTCTCCTGACTGCCTTCTCCTCTAATTGAATGGGAAGCGCTCTTTTCCCCATCTCTGGGAGAATACATCCCAGAGTTTAGATCATGGTAAATCCATTTGTGACATGATCAGTCCCCCAAATGTATGAATGATGACTGTGTCCATTTTCTTCTTTGTTCAGGATCCTCTCAGCATGAGGTCCTCCTTGCAGGCAGTAGCACTCTGGGGAAAGAAGGCCCCTCCACACAGCATCACTGCCATCATGATCACTGATGACCAGCAAACCATTGTGACTGGAAGTCAAGAAGGTCAACTCTGTCTCTGGAATCTCTCACCTGAACTAAAGGTTAGTGAAAATGATTCATATCGAAACAGATGACACTCACAAAATAAGCACAACTTGCTTCTACCTGCCATGACGGTGGGAGTTTTGCATGATTGTTAAAAAGGTGCTCACTGAAGCAGTAAACTGGTTTTACTTCTGAATTTGGAGAAAATGATGGATCAAGATCATATCTGAAAATTAGATTATGAGTATTGCTAATCTTAGCTACCAACTAAGTGTTATCGTCCTTTAAGCTATGCTAAGTTTTACCATTTTACAGCCTGAATTATATGTTTAAGTAACTGAACTACAGACATGTAAATATAATTCTAAAAATCACGGCTCATTAATCTAAACAAAGGGCACCCTTGAAAACCGCTATTAACTAAATGAATAGTATCTTAATTATCTGGGTGTTTCTGTCAGTTTGGCCTTCTTGTTATTCTTGTGGTCTCTGCTTGCATGTGATTTTTAAAGATCACATCACAAAGCTCTAAATCCAATTTACTATTGTCGTCTTCCTATCTCGGAACCTGACCTCACCTAGGATTTGGCCCATTGATTAGCAATTAATTGTCCCTGTCCCAAGTCATAAACATTTAACATATTGGAATAGATATTTGCTTAGTGCTAGCAGCCTCTGGACCCAATTTGAACATTTAAACTAATGATGTACTTAAAGTATACTGCTCTCATTAAGAAGCCTTTTAAAGATCAAAGACTATTTTTAGCCTTTAAAGTTTGTCACTTTAAAACCTAAATTAACAATTAATTGTAATTCTATTTTATAGTGTAATTAATTAACACCTCCCGTCACAGAAGAATTACACTACAGGACTGCCAACAACTGCATAGGAGACCAGCTCAGCTCAATGTTTATGAACATTCCTGAAAGAAGGAACTGGTATTATTGCAACAGCTGAGTTTTGAAAAGTGGCCTTCACATTTATTATCTCTTAGAGTTTAAACTCACACTTCTAAATGGCTTAAATGGACTTGCTACGCTTTTTAATGTTCCAAGTATAGTGTTTTCCGGCTGGAGTAGTTGTCTTGTAATATGTAGGTTGCAATAAGCATAAGAAATTTGGAAGCCTCACATCTGTATCTTTTTACATTCCTTTTTATGTTCCTGTATGTATTCAGCATTTGTTCAACATGCATTTATTGACTACATATTATAAGTTAGATAGTACGCTAGGTACCTAGGTTCAAACACAGATGAGAAGACTTGGTCCTGGCTGTCCAAGGGGCTGCAGTGTAGTAGAAGAAGGACATAGGCTGATGCAGTGCACTGATGAGATGATACAAGGTACTCGGAGTACCTGAAGTGCTGAGGAATTTAGATTTAAAAAAAAAAAATTAACTAGCAAGAGCTAATGCCACATGCTAATTAAAAGCAGTGATAATATTAGGGATTTTGAGATTATTTATGCAAGGAGATGACATAATCCTATATTAGTATATTTGTGATTGGGACTATCATTTGGTATTAATGTGAAGGGCATACAGAAGGGAGGGAGAGAAGTGATAAGGGGCAGTGACTATGGTAGGAGCCTTTTCATTAATTTAGTCAAGAAGGTTTTTGAGTAGGAACCAAATCAGGGACAGAAGGGATGAAAAGGAGATGAAAATGGAAAGATATTGAGAAGAAAGAATGCGTGGAACTGAGCAACTGATTGGAGTGTGGGTCGAGGGGGCAGGAATAGTCAAGGATACCTTACTGACTTAGGGTTTGGGTGTGGGTGGGACTGGTGATGTCATGATATCATGGATTTGTAGAAGGAATAGAGGTGATTAGAGAATAAGAATAGGAAGGGAAAGGAGGTGATTTAAGTTCTGGAGATCTTGGAGTATCCAAGTATTTTTTAGGAGATTGGGACCACATCTCAGTTTTTCCCTGTCCACGGGTGGTGGGATTGCAGGCTATAGGGGAGTAGAGAATAAGTTTCTCATCACATGCTCCTGTTATGCATGCTGCTTCCAGGCTCAGGATCTGACTCCCAAAGACCTCTTAGTGAGGTCTGCCAGTGAGGAGCTTCTCCAAGTTTCATGCTAGGAACTACTTCACTTGTCCTTCCTGGTATTGATTGCTGGTATTTATAACACTTCTAAACATAGAGAAAGCTGAGCTGAACATCCTCCCAGATATATTCCCTTAGTATTGCTATGTTCTATTTTTCTTCCTATTTAATACTCAAAAGGAAACACAATAATGACAAAATGAAGAATAGCAAGAATAGCAATATTGTGTACAGAAAAAGAATGGAGAGCTTGGTCAAGTTCTAACTCTGATATTTACCAACTTTCATATGGAGCAAATGACATTTTCTTTGATCCTTGATTTCTTCATCTGTGAAATAGTTGCACCAGTGCCTGCGTATGGTGGATGCTCATCAAGTTTTGTGTTCCCATTTGCGCTATTGGAAGTTCCTGGCGGGGTGGGGGTCCGGGGTGGGCAATAAGTCATGGAGGTAGAGCCAACGAATAGAAGTAAAGGTCTCCTGGATTTCATCATGTCAATGAGTAGGTGTGTTTGGATTTTTTTGTTGTTTTATTCCAACAGTTCCAGAATATGATAAAAGGAAGAGATTATAATGAATTGTCACAGTTTATTTAACTACATGTGGGGATTTAGTAGTAGAATGAGGACTCCATATTCGAAGCAATGAAGTACCATTATGGTATTTTGTCCATAGCAGATTTTCTCCGGGAGAAGAAATCTCCTTGATTTGCTCTAATTCCTTGCTTAATTTGGCCTGTAATATATGGAAAGGTGTTAAGTTCATAGGGGTATGTATTCCAAAATGTAATGATGGGAAAAGATAGTGTGTTGTTTTCTGAGATGGAACAACCATCTGGATTTCCCAGGAAAAAGGTAGAATAAGGTAAATGGTTGTAACATACCACAAAACTTCTTTGTAGCACTGGAAATTTGGTCTAATAACAGATCTTTAGGGAAGCATTTCTGATTGTGATAGAAATAAGATGAAGGCAGAGAATGATTGTGTTTTGAAGTAATTTGTCCTCATTGGTATGATCACCTATGGATATGTTTGCATGTTCAGAAAAAGCATAATGAATATTAATTCATTGGAAATAGATTTTTTATTACCTACAAATTTTCTAGTCATTCAAGTTAAAGTTTTAGTCCCTATTGACAAACTCTTCTTCATTTGAGGGGATCCTGCATGTCTTTTGTTTTGTAGTTTGATTTTTGTAATCTTGTTTTATAAAATAAGGAGCAATAGGCATCTTTCATACATGAGATAATGGAAGAATTAGCCCTTGGTGCTGTATTTTTAAATTCATGTACAGGAGAAAGACAATAGCATTTTCAATAACAACTTAGTTAAAACTTTATTTTTAATGCAGAAAAATTAATTTTTATTATTTCTGGAGCAAGAAATGAAATGAGGTTACGATAAGGATATAATGGTTACAAAAAAGGTAATATTTTCCTTGTAATATTTTGTAAACTCATTTCTGAATTCTGAAATTTGCTCATTAATATGCTACTATCAACTGAGGCACATTTTGTGCATAATAAACATCAACACTGACTTATTTGTGTTCAAAACCTAGATGTTGTAAAACAGGTCTGGTGATTATTTAGGTTTCATGATAGATACAAAACCAAAACCAAAAACAAAGAACTGTGTACAAGATATCTCCTATATCTAGATGTTTATTAGATTTTTTTAAATTTATTTGAGAGAGAGAGCAAGCATGAATTGTGGGGAGAGGCAGAGGGAGAAAGACTCCCCGCCGAGCAGGGAGCCTGATGCCAGGACCCCAAGATCATGACCTGAGCTGAAGGCAGACGCTTAACCAACTGAGCCACCCAAGTGCCCTGTATCTAGATGTTTATTATTCTGTGGATTTTGATATGGCATAGATCAGTTTTCCTGAAACCTATGTAGAGCAAAAACATAATATAACAGGATTTTCTAATCAGAATTATGAATACTTATATAATGTGATGTTTATATTCTTCAAAAGTTTATAGCTGTTTAAAAGCTTACCCTCATCATTTCAGATTTCAGCTAAAGAACTTCTGTTTGGTCATTCGGCTTCAGTAACATGTTTGGCAAGAGCAAGGGATTTCTCGAAACAACCTTACGTCATCAGTGCTGCTGAAAATGGGTAGGTAAGATGTGCGCAACTTTGTGACCATCTCTGTTGCCTCTCCCTTTTTAAAAACAATGATGGGGTACAGAATTCTGGGGCTGAAGGAAACCTTAGTGATTATCATGTTCCTTTTACATAGAGGAAAATTTAGATCTTGAATGGTAAAGTAATTTGTGTGATGATCCCAAGGAATGTGATCAGTACTGTGTCTCCCAATTTAACTCTTTTTTTTCTTGCTGGATTAAGGCCAAAATAAACACTCTTAACTTGTCTATCAGGCCTTGTGGCAGCCTCACTATATAAAAGCAAATGCCACCTGTTGTAGAATTGAAAACGGAAACGTCTGGGTGCTTGTCTTTTTTCATGTAGTAACTCACTTTGAGCTCTTAAGCAAACCTATCCAAGCCTTCATTGTTTTGTAAAACAACTCAATAGTTATAATCTTCATGGTATACACTTGTCTGAAATCATTATAGGAGAAGCAGAGGAGAGGGCTCAATGGTAAGTGGGATGGGGGGAGAGAGAAGGGAACATAGACTGTGATTTGGGTGCAGTTTCATGGAGGCAAGGTTTATTCCAATGAAATAGGACTAAGCTGTAAGAAAAAGCCTCACCGATGGAAGAACTACTAGGAGCTGGACTCTGCTGATGAGTTATTTGCCAAAGTAGATTCGGGAATGCAGAATCGATTCAGCGTGCATTTGTGAATGAGGGATTGGATTACTGGCTGAAATAAGAGAACTCCCTCCTTTTTTTTTTTTTACTTGAGGAGAAAGTACATGGCCCTGAACTCTGAGAACCAAAAGGATAATGAGTGTCCAACTTGGAGAAACTGAATAGCTTAACAAAATGCTAGTGAAACGGATATCAAAGAGGTACCTATTCTCATAGTTTACAGCAAAGCCATCATTGTTAAACTTAGAGAGATTGAACTTTGGATGAGGCTAGAGTGAAATGGCCTACTACATTCTTTTCTTAATAATTGCTAGTAGCTTTCATATGCTAGGGTTGCTGCAAAGCCTGCTACACAAGCTGAGTGTAACAATGAGTGTTGCCAGTCTAGAGAATTTGGGAGATGGTGATTTTTTTTTTCCTGAGACTACTTGGAGAGTTGAGGAAAATTAATTGCTAAAGGAGAAATAGCTCTGGAAAGTAACTGAGTTCCAACCTGAGGTTTTTGCCCACAGTAGTCTAGCTCCAAAAAAGAAACTAAGGTTAATGGACATATTCTTGATGATAGATGAATTCAGCTGTATGACCCTGCAAATATAATTATTAAAGAGCCAAGGAGTCTGGTTTGATCTTCCTTTCCCAAGATGATTTGAATTTTCTGGAATTCTGTTTCTTCAAGATGCAAAACTTGGCCTGCATTTATAAGATATTCTTTAGGCAGTATCTACATTTCAGCGGCTGCATACTTAACAAATCCTAGTTTAATCTACTGGAAGTTATTACACTTACTAGACTTGGTCCATTATGCCCCAACAACGATTTTTTTAGCTTTGAGAAGACTCAGGAAGTGACCGTAGACTTAGTGTTTCTGCTTCCAAAATGTTCAGATGGTACCCCAAATTGCTGTGATTCAGTTTTTCATTTTTTTCCCAAAGTATTAGTTCATCAGTAGGCATAAGATTCAGGAATCCCAGTGAGTTCCAGGATGACTGAAAGGAAATACTACCTGGAGACCTGATGTTGAAGCAACAGAATGCCAAAGAAAAAAAGATCCTGAAGGTGGTTAGTGGGAAAAAGCAGATTATTTATAATGGAATGTAATTAAGCTGACTTCTCAGCAGTAAAATGAAAGCTGGACAGCAGTGAAATATTTTCAAAAAGTTGAGAGAAAATATCTGCCAACTTAGAATTGCATGTCTAGCAAAAATATCTTCCTAAAAATGAGGTCAAAATAATAACGTTTAATACAAATACTGAGAATGCTCACTGCCAACAGATCCTCTATAAGCAGCAGAATTCTAAATTATATTCTTCAGTAAGAAAAGCCATGATTCAGAAGGAAGAGCTGAGATGGAAGAAGGAATATTGAACAAAACCAGAAAATTTTTAGAAAGTGTAAATAAATACAGACTATTACACAACAGTGTTTATGTATCTCCCATGCCCTGCCCCATACATATTCACACAATCCTAGTCAACAGTTGCATAGGGTTGGGTAGTGACCAGATCCCACATGCTGTGGTGTTCTAGAGGTGGGTAAAGCTGTTGATTAACGTTAGAATTTAAGCTAGATGTACATGTTAATATTTCCAGGGTAGCTGCTAAAAGAACAGAGAGGGGAAATAAAAATAAAAGAAATAGAATACAGAACTTCCAACTTGGAAAAGAAAAAATAATAATTTTTATTTAATCCAAAGGAGACAAAAATAAATGGGACAAATGGAAAGCACAAGATAAGGTAGTTGAGCTAAATCTGACTAAAACCGTAATCTCAGTTATGTAGAAGGACTGAGCCCTCTAGTTAAATCACAAAGATTGTCATATAACTTAAAAGACAAAAACAGCATAAGGACATAGAAAGGTTAAAAGTAAACGGATGGAAAAAGATTTATCAGATGAATACTGACCAAAATAATGTTGATATAGCTGTATAAATATTTTATATTAATAAATACACATAGTTAATAAAATCTTAAGGCAAAAAAGACTTGGCATTGATAAAGAGGGTTATTACTTATTAATAAAATTTTCAATCAGCAGCAGGAGATGAGACCAGAAAGTTAGGCAGGTGTCCAGTCTTAGAGTCTTCTAGAACCATGTTCCTCCAACCTGAGCTTGCATCAGGACCACCTGAAGAGCTTGTGTAAATACAGATTTCTGGACCCCACTCCCAGAGGTATGGGTTCAGTAGGTCCGGGCTGAGGTTCAAGAACTTGCATTTCTAACATGCTCCTGGACAGTGCTGAGGCTGCTTGTTCAGAGAACATATCTGGTGTAGTGAGTATCCTATAATGGGGGCAGTGAGAGAAAGTGTGATGTCAAGAATGACTTGGGAAACTCATTGGTGATGATACCAGTTAATTATGAGGATAGGAAACTAAGGAGGATGGATGTTACGCTTCATTGTGAATATGAGGAGTGTGGAGTGTCCCACGTCATCCACATAGAGAGATATCTAATAGCTAGTTGCATGTGGAAATCTAGAGCTCAGTGAACAGGTCTGGGCTTCCAACGTCATATACATAGTACCTGAAGTGATGGGAGTAGATAATTCACCCGGAGAAAGTGTGAAATATGAGAATGTAAGAAAGCCTAAGACAAAAATCTAAGGAAAATCAGCATTTAAAACAGCATAAGAATGGAACCTGACAAGGCCAATGAAATCCCAAAAGTGTAATGGAAGACAAGAGAAAAGAGAATTTGAAGCATATAAGGGACTTGGAATTCAAGATGGCAAACCATGTTTATCTCCTCTCCCTCTAGATGTTGCATTAAAATAGAAATCATAGCAGTTTTATAAGCACACAAATATAAGAATAGGAATGGGGCCAAGAGAAAATAGTGTATTTCTGAAAGTAGAAAAGTGGACAGAAGAATGGCAACTGATCTATTTATCCACTGGATGAATTTTTTATTGAGGTGCTGAGGTGGGGATGTAGAATTCAATAAGGGAAAAAATGCCTTTTCTCCAGGAATTTAGTGGGAATTTAGCAGTTTTGTAACTTTATATGTTGTAGATATTTTCCTCTGTGTTCTTTTCAATGAAATTAAAAAATCAAGAATTTAAAAATTTTGGAAATTGTTAAACTTTTTTTATGTGATTAAAGGTGATCTCAGTAGAAACGTTAGGAATGGTATTTCAAAAGGAAAAGAAGAATGTACATTTTAATAGTCAATTTTCCTGTGTTCTTATTAAGTATGTAACTTGTACAGTTCCAGCTAAAATGTCAATGCTACTTTTGGTACACAACACATTTGCTTTCTTTCCTTAAAAAGAATTGACAGGCAAAGAGTCAGTTTTTGCTTTGTGGTATTTTGTATTACTTTTTTTTTTTTTTTTTACTTTAAGATAGAAAATAAGATGATAAGAAAACAAACAGGGAAAGCATTAGAATCCAGGAGAATTTAGAAACATTAGCATCACTGAGAGAGCTTTTACTGATGCCCAGGCTCCAACCTTGGAAAATGTGATTTAATTAGCATGGCTTGATGTCTGGGTCAGACATCAGTATTTTTAAAGAGTTTGCTGATAATTCTCATGTATAGCCAGTTTAGAACCACTGGTTTAGAGATAGACTTATCTAGAAACAGACTAACTGACCAAGAGCTTGGCAAAACCTATATGCCGGGACTCCAACACAGAGCCGTGGAATTAGAATCTCTATGGACAATTTTAGAAATATGTGCAGGTGATGCACAGCTAGAGTTGAGAACTATGCTAATAAACTCCAGTTCCTTATGAAGCTAAAATTTTATATTAATAGCAAGTTAAGGTTCTATTTCTTTTTACCTTTGAGATATATTATCTCAACTTCTCCTTCCCAGTTTTATTTTTCACACACACACACACACACACACACTTTTCCCTTGTTTTATTGAGTTGCATGAGTTTCCATATTACCTCAATCCTTTTTGGAATAAAGTCGGATATAAACAGGAAAAAATTATGAATATTTTGTTTCTATATCCAGAACAGGGTTTCTCAACCTCAGTACTAATTACATTTTGGAGAACCTTAGAATTCTTTGTTGTGGGGCCATCCTGTGCATCCTAGGATATTTTGCAGCATTCCTGGCCTTCCCCCACTAGATGCCAGTAGTGTGTTCCTAGTTGTGACTATCAAAAATATCTCTTATCATTGTCGAATGTTCTTTGGGGGGCAAAATTGCCCCAGGTTGAGAACCACTGATTTAAAGATTGATGTCCAGTGTTTGGCCAGAAAAACAAAAAAGCCCAGCAAAACACCAAATGCATCTAGCATTTACTATTATTAATTCATATCTTTTGCTTCTTAATAGCAGCTTCTCCCTTAAAGCCAATAAAGCTTTCATTTATTCTTTCATGGAAAGTTTTGCTTATGTGTTGAAAGTGTCAAAACTGAAGGATATTACCAAACAACTGTGAAACAGCCGTTCTGGTTTTTGTGAACAGAAATCATGTAGATTTAAATTGCCCTACACTGGGTGATATATTTTGTCACTGTATTTCATAATTTTATGTACATCCTTGTAACATATAGGAAAGCAAGTCAGAGTTTTCTAAACAATGAGAATTCTCTAAATATGTAGTGGCAAGTGTGATTTCAACATTTCAGGATAAGCAAAGAAGTAAACCCTATCAATGATAGACCAAATGCAGCCTCTTGGTGGCACTGTTTATTTTTATAAAAATGATACCTCAGCTCCAGAAGATGCAGCCCTCGATGCATTATGCTTTTCAGAATATGTAGTTTAAGTTCAGTGAAATAAACCATTTTCAAGGGGATGCAGTTTCCATGAAAAGACTGTTGTACTATCACTCTAACAGACTGTGATAGCTGGATCCACACAATTTGTTTTAGGTCAGGTTGGCGCTAAAGTAAGGTTTGTAGGCGGGCGGCAGGGTGTAATTACCCAAACAAAAAGACACAGATACAGTATGTCATCCCTGCTAATGACCACAACATTTTCTTGCTCAGTAATCTGTAACAAAAAGCCACATAAACTATCAGGTTGCATTTAAGTGCAGCACTAAAGAAAAACTTGGTGACACAAAAATTATTTCAGCCAATTGAGTAGAAATGACAGAGAATGATGCAAAGTTATCTCTGCTAGGGAGATGTGTGTTTGGAATGTCACCAACGGACAGTGCGTGGAGAAGGCCACTCTTCCTTACAGGCACACTGCAATCTGTGTAAGTACCTTCCCTTCCTTCAGAACATTTCCGGATTCTGGAACTCCTTTAGAGCATTTGCGAAGCACACATTTAAAGAAATGTCTTTGGAGGATATTTTTTCCTTGTGTCAGTTATCATCTGTTATTTTGGCATCTTTCTTTCCTAAAAGTTACTATTCAAGCTTTTTTTTTCTGATTCTTTCTTTATTTCGGTATCTAACAGACAAATTCGAAAGACAATTTTTAACTTTTTCTTCATTACACTCACAACACACACACAGACACACATTAATTACATGCTATTTTATAAAGCAAAAAAGTTTTTTGTCTTCAATTTTAACCTTTTTTGGGTGGATAGGTTCTTAATTTCTGAATTTCTTATTCATGAAAAGGTAACAAAGTATCGCTGTACCTTTATAATCATCTCCCAGTATTTAAAACAGATTTTGGCTTTTGGTAGATGGACTCCAATCATACAGGTGAGGCAGTTGCATTATACCAATGGTGCTCACAGTGTTTTTTATATTTTACTCATTGCTTTTGGCATTGATGACTTGCACTGCAATACTCACAAAGTCATTTCTGGGACCAAAACTTGCACAGTGAGAGAATTTGTCAAGGGTACAATATATTACTCAATCTTTGATAAAAGCTGTTCTCAAAACTTATTTGGCACAAGAATTCTCACACACTCTTCAAACACTTTTATTTCTTTAACGTATAATAATGTTGCTAGAAGAAGGAACCTGATTTTTTTGTTGTTGTTTAATTCTACATAGCATTCTAGAAATAAAACAATTGTGAGCTTTCCATAACTTGGAATAAGATTCTTTCTTCCTAAAAGATCCCCCTTCCTCCAGAAAAATGGTTAATTACAAATGAGACTAAAGTCCCAAATCAATGCTTCAAAAATATGGAATAATTGAGCTAAAAGAAACTTCACTTGCTATTCAGTAGCAGGTAAATACTTTAATTGAATAGATGCTAAAACTAAAATCCAGAGAGTCTTCACCATAGCCCAAATTATGTTAATTGCTAATGATAATTAACTCTTTGCTTTGAATTCCATTTTCATAGTATTACCACTGCTCATTCCGGATGACAGGGGAAGGTTGGCTTTTGTGTTGTGGAGAATATCAAGATGTTCTTATCATTGATGCCAGAAGTTTGGCTGTTATTCACACTTTCATATCGTCTCAGTCTCCTGATTGGGTCAACTGCATGTGCATTGTTCACTCCATGAGAATTCAAGGTAATAGTTGGGTATTATATAACACTAAGAGAGTGCATATAAAAATACCACTTTTGAATGATTTGTTAAACTAATGGGCAAGAGTTCAGAATACTCCTTTATGTTTACCTGTTGGTGGGGACAGTTCTCTAAGCCAGATCAAGAAAACTGAGAACACTCATACCAGTGGTTCAAGTCATTAGAAAGGCAGCAAGAGGTCAAGATGAAATGAAAAGAGGAGACTGTTTCCATGACTCAGTTCATTGGTACATTTCAAGAGTGACCAAGCATGCATTTGTTGTGGATTAGCAAGACTCTTGGAACTTTTGCCTTGCTGTATCTTCTGGATGTAGTAGAGAATTCCAATTCATGTAATGAGAGGATTCAGATTCTGTAATGGCTCCTTACTTGTTTCTGAAATAAGAAGGTGTAATATTGACAACATAATGATTTTCAACGTAGTTCTGCTCTTAGTGGTGCTCTTCTATATTACATGGGGGTCACTTTGAAATTTTAAAACAAATTTAAAATGTGATCTAAAATGTTCATTTTTTATAAAAAAACAAAAAACCAAGGCTGAATAATTTCCACCTACATAATCCTGTGTAATGCTTAAATGACTATGCTGTGATCTTTACAGCAACTAGTTATAACAGGGGTCAGCTTATACGTGACCTTTATTGTTTTTACAGAAGATTCTCTCTTGGTGGTATCAGTAGCGGGTGAGCTCAAAGTATGGGATCTCTCTTCATCTATCAACAGTATTCAGGTTGGCTTGTGAAACTTTTTATTCTCTAATTTCAAGCATATTTATTGAAATTTTTTTAATTATAAAGGTGTTACCCATTCATTGTTAAGAGTTCAAATAATGTTGAGGTGCCTGGGTGGCTCAGTCGGTTAAGCATCTGCTTTCAGCTCAGGGTCATGATATCAGGTATTGGGATCCAGCCCCACATAGGACTCTACACTCAGCAAGGAGTCTGCTTCTCTTTCTCCCTCTCCCCTCACCTCGTGCTCATGTGCATGTGCTCTCTCTCTCTCCCTCTCTTTCATATAAATAAATAAAATCTTTAAAAAAAAGTTCAAATAATGTAGAAATGAATAATTCTATCTCCATGTACTTCCTCCCATCACTCTTCCAAGGGGTAGGCATTGGTAACAATTCGATTGTATCCTTCCAGCCTGTTGTCAGGGAATATACAAATATTTTTATTTATACACACACACACACACACTGGTTACATTTTAAAAGAAATAAATAAGTCATAGAGGAATATCTTTCCGAGCCTTACAGCAGAAAGAAAGACGCCTTTCTTCTGAGTATATGTGAGTGGTAGCAGGGAGATGACTATGAACGGCTGGGGGGTCACATGCACTGAGAGTCCAGTATATTTACCTGCTCCCTGCATCAACTTGGCTACAAGTTGAGGTGGTGGATGAGAGAACAGTCATAGTATTTATGCTGATGATAAAATTGTTTCAGCTGCCCTATGATCTGAACTCTCCTTTGGAATTTCTTGGTTGGGGAAGCCTAGGGATTGTGTTAGCATAATGAGCCCAAGAAACACACACCAGCATTATCAGAAACTTATTGCTAATATAGTATTCTAGGTGTCCTATGTTGGCCACTCTTTTTTTTTTTTTCAAAGCATTTTATTCATTTTTCTATTTTAGTAATTAAGGTACTGCAGGTTTTTTCTTTAATATTTTACTTTTTTTGTTTTATCTTTCTGCCATGTCTGAAAATTAGAAACTTACTCATATCTTTACATTCTCAGCATCCAGCACAGTCCCCAGAATGTTTGTTGGATGATTATATAAGTAATCCTGCTTATGATTTCCTTTGCAAAATAACTTCTTATTTCAGAAAACTCAAAAGAAAACTGGGGTAGTTTTTTATAAAAATGGTGTGATCTACTTCAGATGTACGATGGGGCAAATCTTATACAGTCATGTATAAATTACCTAGAACTAGTACTAAAATATTCCCATTACTTTTGAAGGAAAAGCAAGATGTCTATGAAAAGGAATCCAAATTTCTCGACTCCCTGAACTGCCGGACAATACGATTTTGCACATATACAGAGAGACTTTTACTGGTGGTATTTTCTAAATGTTGGAAGGTATTAATACCAGTGATATACAAATGTAATTTTTTCTTGCTCAATGCAATAATTATAAGAATATGATTTAAATATGATCCAAACTCTATATTATTACCAGAGCATGGAATGATTTGTCTTTTATAACCCACTTTTATCAATTTTCCTCTCCCTGCACTCAGCTATTCTGCTTCTCAGGAGATTATATATCTAAAATATATCCTAATTTTATTAATAACAAACTATTATTATAGTGAGCATTTATCTCTGGATTATTTTTAAAATTTAATGCCTGCACTTTAGAACTAAAAAGAAAACTAATACTTTTCACCTACATACACTGATTTTATTTTTAGACTTTTTTTCTTCTGCTGCTTAGTCACTACATTCATTTTTAAGAATATACATTCCTTTCTTGTGAATATATTCACTGATACCTCCAATAAGAAAGAAAAACTAAGTTATTGTATCATCTGATGGCATCCCTTTTTTCTTTAGTGTTCCATATACCTGGCCCAGTTAATAAAACGATATTGTCTTAACTTACATGTTGATAATATATTTTTGAACAAAAATATAAAGTATGTGGTCTAACAAAAGATTTCAGCTGTATACACTTTTTTGTATAATAAATTTTAAAAATTTAAAGTTGGGCTACCATATGGAAGAAATAAGATTCTATGTAAATTTTGGGATTTTTGGTCTCTGTGCTTAATGGGCACATTCTGGAATGGTACAAAGCTTATTCACTGAAACCTACCTTAATGTAAATGTGAAAAAATAAGTACCAGTAAAATATCACTTTGGTACATGAGTACAGTGTGTCCTGTTATTAATATTTAGTATATTGTTGCATTAACACTGCCATCTAAATGGTCTTGATAAGCATAGTTTATCTTTCATCTCATTGGCAGATTAGATTAGAAGCTTTTGTTAATGTGTGTCATTAATTTTGTATTTTAGGTTTATGATTATTGTGATTTTTCCCTTCTGCGAACTGAAGTTAGTAGAAGTGGGCAGTTTTTTGCTGGTGGAGAGGTGCTTGCTGCTCACAGAATCATCATCTGGACAGAAGATGGTCACAGTTATATCTATCAGCTGCTGAACAGGTGGGCTCAGATGGGAGCGGCATACAAAACATTCAGGTAGAAAATGAACTTTGGGAGGTTTATTATGGAAAAGTCCCTGCGTGCCGCCCATGATCAAAAACCAGAACAAAACAACTTTGGCACTAGAAGATTTACTCTGGGCTTGGTAGGCTTCAGCCTTTGTATAAAACAGCAGGGGATGAAGGAATGAGATTAACCATGTCTAACTTGTACAGCTGGTGCTGGGTTTTCAAAAAGTCACTTGTAATTATTAACCCAACAATTTCTAACTAGAGTTTAGAAACTTGAATGGTACCATCCGGCTTTTGAATGTGGGAGGAGGAAAAAAAAAAACGAATAAAGAACCCCAAAGTTCTAAACTCTGCTTTTTATTTTTCGCCATGCAGTGGGCTTTCCAAAAGCCTATACCCTGCTGATGGAAGAGTGCTTAAAGAGACCATTTATCCTCATTTACTGTGCTCTACTTCTGTGCAGGAAAATAAGGTAATGCAAGGAGAGAGTGACTGCCTCGAAACTGTTTCACTCCGCATCTAGTGTTAAGTGTTGCTTTGTCTGTAGCAGAGTCAGACTTGAAAAAGTTGAATTGAAGAACCACAGCAAGTTATCAACGAGCAAATCAAATCTGTTAATGGGTACTGAAGAGAAAACGTTGCCTTTGAAAAATGTATTTTTTAAAGTCTGATTAAACAATATATATTTATTATAGAAAAATTACCAAAGTTAAACACCCACACACATAACACATTTTTCACTGACCCTTTGGATAAATGGTTTGATGCAAAGATATTATCATTTTGATGTATCTAATCCAATTTTTACGCTTTATCAAATGGTTTATATCCTGCTTTTTTTTACTCAATATTATCATTTTTTGCATATATTTAGCTCTTTTTCTGAATAAATTTTCTTGCTAAAACAAAAACAAATATATTGTGATTCCTGGCAGAGTTGAGGATATAATTGTGTGTTTTTACTTGACTGAATTATATCTTTAACACTCTATGAAGCCTGAACATTTAAAGTTATTTTATTTTGGTAGTGCTAACCAAAGTGAGGTTGTGTTGTTGTTGTTGTTGTTGTTGTTGTTGTTGTTAACCTATGGACTTGGTCATCAGTTAATTATCCAAAGAAGTATTTCATGGAGATTGGAGGAGTTTTGGATTACTGATGTGTCAACCAAGGAAGCATGTTATTTTTTACAGAGTGATGTTTTGCTTAATTAAGTAGCAATGCTGTTGGAGATCCTATAGTTCCATGATTGTCCCTAAGATATCTGCAAGGTTTTGTTGCAAAAACTTCATTAAGAAGGTGCCAACCAAGAATCAGAACTCTTAGTGCCACCGAGGCACAGGCAAACTTTAGAATTGTGGCATCAGGCACTATTTCTAAGGTCATTTGTGGGTGGCACCCGAGTCTTGTTTTGCTGTTGGTCATAAAAGCAGTATTATGGCTTACTCAGAAAAGCATTTTTAGTCATTTTTTTAAAGGACCTGCCTACCCATTCTTTCTTTTAGCTCCAGAATGTGTTTCTTATAAAGCAGTTTCCCCTAAAAGCTAAAATATAAGTAGTGTCCTTTAAGAGCTTCCAGTCTACTCCAAATATCAATGCTATACACCACTATGTGGAAAAAGGATAGCAATTACAAATTAACTTAAAAGATACTAATCTTAGGGGAAGCCATCTTATTTTGTTCCTCAAAATGTAAAGATATAGATATATGGGTCTTCTGTCAACAATTCTTGTTTAGACAACCACAGTTACTTCTTTATCTTAAAAGTGGGAAGTACTTGGAAGCCAGTGAAATATGACTAGAATAATCGGAATCTTAAAGAAGCTGGTCTGCCCATCCTTACGCCCTTGCTTGCAGTTTGTCTGCCAAGAAATTAAAGTATGACATTATTCTCCTTATTCTCCTTATTCAAAACATCCCCAATATTCACTAAATATAAGACTTCTTAGTCTCCTGCAGTTAAAAGGTAACATTTTGGTGGGGTGGGGAGATGAGCTTGGTAGGTACAATGAGTTTAGAAAAGGGGGTTCTATAAATACATAGTATTAACTAGACTCTTCTTTTGGAATCAAATCTCAATGTTTGACAATAACGTGTTCCCAGAGTTAACATTTATGATGCTAGGAACGTATCTGCTGATGAAGTTGTAGTAGCAAAATGAGATTCCCCCTTCCTTTCAGCAGTTTATGAGAGTCTCCCTAACTTCAGATCACAGCTGATGATCACTGAGGCCTGTGACAGGGGTCCTGGTTGTTGAGATGAGGTACTGGGCTTTCCAGGGTCTTAGCTATGGAGTAACTCTGAAATGCTGAGGTGGGAGTAGCTGGGATAGAAACAGCCTGAGGATTGCAGACAAGGAATTTGGGTGCATGAACTAAGAGCAAAAACAATGATGACGATGTTAGGTAACTTTATGTCCAAGGCCTTATTCTTGTCAGACACTCCTTCATTTACATGCATTCCCACTATGACCACACTTTGAAACTGATGTTCAGAAAGGTTAATTCCTAGGATTTGAACTTAGGCTGTTTGGCCCCAGAGTCTGGCAGTGAGACTTTGGAGCAAGTTTCTCATTGTCCTGAAAAGTGGATAATAAGAATGGTTAATATTCACTGAGTGTGTACCAAATGCACGACACCATTCTAAGCACCTCACCTTTAGCAATTCATTAATCCTGACAGCGATCCCATATAATAGGTGCTTTTATTGGCCTTCTTTCACAGTTAGGGAGAATGAGACAGAGAGAGGTTAAGTAAATTGTCCAGATCAAGTAATTGCCTCTTTTAATAGAGTTGGTATGGGCTAAACCAGGATTTGAATCCAGGCAGTTAACCCAAGAGAATTCACTCTTAAAGACCATTTTATTACCTCTTAGAGGTATTCCCTCTCGGAGGACGAGTGCTCCTTGTGATGTGTATGGGGACTGTGATGAAAAATCAGAATTCATATGGTAAGGGGCTCTGAGGAGGTTTGCAGGTCAATAGCAGAACTGGAGAAGGAACCCCTGGGAAGGATGGGGGCAGAGGCAACAAGGAGTGGGTGTGAGAAGTGGGGGCAGAGGGGTTGACAGTAGCCCAGGATTGTGAGCCACCGGGCAGTGCCTCAAGCTGCAAGAGCGGACGCATGCGGCCCGCCACCAACCTGAGTAACCACCCGCCTCTCTGGAGCTTCATTCCTAGATCAAAATCCCGAGGGAGTTGGACTAGTCAGTGCTAAGGTTCCTCAAGGTCAAGAGAGTTTAAGAAGCCAGTTTACCCAAATTTTATCAACACCGTTTCTAACACCTACAAAAGTGATGGCCTGACAAGTATAAGACTCCAAAGTGCCTTCTTAATCTTAAAAAAAAAAAAAAAGATTTATTCGGAGAACTGACTTCATAGGAACTGTTTTCTCTCCTGCAATGCTCTCATTTTGGGAGATGATAAAGGATTACACATCTTGCTGGCGTGGTCTTGGATTCCTTTCTTTTTCTCTTCCTGTCTTGGTTTTCTTATCTCCACACCAGGAATAATAACCATGTTTACTTACTTTGTAGCTTTGTTGTGAGGATTAAATAGAGCAGTGTTTTGGCCTTTAATATTCTCTACAGATACATTATAGAATTTTTCCAATAATACATCAAAGTCCTGACCTTCAAGCCTATTTTCTGACTAGGAACTATCACTTTTGTAGACTTCTTTAATTCTAGCACCAGCAGTTGGCTTTCTTTCCAGGGTGCCTTTTATTTGTACATCAAAAGAAGTGTTTGTTTTTGTTTTTATAATCGCTTCATTATTTTGATCCCTTGTGCAGAATCTCTGTATGCAAGTCTGCCCAAACAACATCTACACTGCACTGAGATACTAGAGAGATTCTAGACTCATTCACTAGTAAAAACATATCTTCCAGAACTCTGGTGCCCAATATTCATACTCTGCCTCAGCAACATTATAACTTCACATACATAAATATATAATATATATTAATATAAACTATAGCTATATATTTATTTATATAAATATAATGTTTGTTTACTTATTTATTTATATGTTATGGACTCATTTTTATATGTGCCCACTTAGAATACGTAAAATCAAATACATTAAATCTGAAAAATAGTCAACAGAAAGTAGAAAGCATATTAGTAAGACAAAATTACCATACAAATATTAGTTGTTGCTGTTTTAATTGACAATTGGAACTCAAGGGGCCATAAAGAAATCAGGCCGCCTTAGTGGGCAGTAGAGTATGGTCACGAAGACATGGACTCTTGAGTCAGAATTATTGGACTCCAAAGCACAATGCTGTCTGTTTCACTTTGGGTAAATCAACGTCTTCACTCTCAGTTTATTCATCTGTAATCTGGAGACAATGATAGTACCAACTTCACAGAATTATTGTGAGGATTATTTAGCTGAATGGATGGAAAACCCCTAACAGTATGTGTCATACGCAGACAGAACATCTTCAGTAAATGTTAAATATTAACTCTCTGAAGTCTAGCGGATGACTTTGCTTCTATTTTATCAATTTTTTTTTTGTCTCGAGTAAGAGATTATTTCACTTAAATTACTTGGAATTTTTGAAAGACCAGGAAAAAAATGGAAACAGTTTAGTTCATCTATGAAGTCTTGTCCCTCCATCTTAAGCCAATGGTTGTCATTTTATATTTAGATATTTTTTCTACATAAAAGCTAACTTTTTGTTTTGGACCAGAGCCTTTCCTTTGTTATGGGCTACATGAATGAACGGAAAGAGCCTTTTTATAAGGTACTTTTCTCTGGAGCAGTCTCAGGAAGAATTACTTTGTGGCATATCCCTGATGTTCCTGTATCCAAGTTTGATGGTTCTCCTAGAGGTAAGACAATTTCTAATCTATTTATAATCATATGTCTTCTGAGAACGAGTTTGTAATTAATTCAGTATTCTTCTCATTTGTGTCACACGAGGCTACAAATAAGACAGATTTTCTCATGCACCATTATGCATTAGATGTCAACATGAAGGTAGGTATAAATATTTTGGGGGCAGAGGAAGAGAGAGAGAGAATCCCAAAAGGGCTCCACACCCAGTGCAGAGCCCAGCCTAGGGCTCAATCTCAAGACCCTGAGACTATGACCTGAGCCGAAATCAAGAGTTGGACACTTAACTGACTAAGCAGTCAGGAGTTGGATGCTTAACCTACTGAGCCACCCAGGCACCCCAAACATGATGTTTGTAGATCTTGTACAATAATAAAACCAATATAATTCAAATTAACATCAATTTAACAGGAATGGTGTTTTATTGAAATGAATGCTTGCAGTATGAATGTAGGATAGGCTGATATACCATACTCAATATTTTTGAATTTGTCATGCCTATATCCTGTACCTTTTTTTTTTTTAAAGATTTTATTTATTTATTTGACAGAGAGAGAGAGAGAGACAGCGAGAGAGGGAACACAAGCAGGGGGAGGGGGAGAGGGAGAAGCAGGCTTCCCGCTGAGCAGGGAGCCCGATGTGGGGCTCGATCCCAGGACCCTGGTATCATGACCTGAGCTGCAGGCAGATGCTTAACTGACTGGAGCCACCCAGGTGCCCCATCCTGTACCTTTTCAACCAATTTCTCTATTGGTATTGTTGCAGCTGCTTGGAGCAACAGGAACAGATATAAACTTGGCCACTAAAACATTTAGCATTTGCTTATTTTAGTTTTTCTTAGAATACAAAACTGAAATCATTAGAGTAAACATTATTGTGGAGAACCTTCAAAGTCCTGAGACCACATATTCCAAATTGAGGAAGACTGTCTTACTCTTTTTCTCTTTTTCCCAAATAATTAAGTCATCTCTGTGAATCCTTGTCTGGGGCACAGCAGAAACAAGGTACTCAATACTTGAATTTCTAAGTGCAAGTTTCCACTGTTTAGCAAAATCACTGGTATAACTTAGAGTGTGTTTGTCCCAGATGTTTTCAAAATGGTTCATAATAGTCCTAGGTTAAAAAGAAATGGATCAAAAAATAGATGTAGAACTTGGTACAGTGCATGGAAAAGTTTCTCACAAGTTCAGTTTTAAGAGTTAAAATACATACCATGCCCCTGCTGAGGCCACCTAATGGTAAACCTAGGATTTCTCACCTATGTTCCACAGCCAGCAGCAGAATTAAGTAAGCATCTAATTAATCTTCTTTATAAGTAGAACCATAGTCATCTACGACAGCACTTGATGTTTGTCTCAGGTTTGGTTTCTAGGTTTTCATAGTCACTGTGGCATGTGTACTGAAAGACCTGGGTTTTTCATAGAAAGGTAGGTTGGCTTTGACTTGCCCTCTTTGCTCCTGAGTCCAAGCTTCTCTCCCTTCCTGAGCCTACTTGAGTCCCAGTTCAAATGGTTGGGTGGCAAGCTATGCAAAATGATAACCAGCGTTCTTGGTACTCATAGATAATTGCCCAGGAGCAATTTTGAGATATTCATACCCTTGATATTTAAAGAATATGTTTCTTCCATTTTCCTCACATAACTAAGAGACCCCCAGTTTTCCTTCTTAATGTTGCTGAGACACATAGAGAACTTATGAGATTGGACCAACACTTTACATCACTGCAAGAGTTTCTCAGTTCTTTTTAGGTGACCTAAGTCTAAAATGAATGCACGAATACATACCTATTCTTCTGAGACTCCTTGAAGGACAGAGGACCAATGAAATAGCATTTGGAATAAAGACAATGGATCACAGGAGAACTCTTCTGCAGTTAGCCAACTGTTAGGATGGCAAAAGAGCCTCTAGGTACCCCAAGGGATGGTGCCTTGAAAACATTTTCCATATCTATGATGAATTTATAAACTGAATTTTCCCTTTTTTATGTGTTTTCCTTTTAGAAATACCAATAACTGCCACATGGACCCTTCAAGATAATTTTGATAAGCATCATACCATGTCCCAAAGTATTATTGATCATGTCTCTGGGACTGCAACAGTCGGAGTCACTTCATCAGAGTATGTTCCAAGTCTTGATAAACTAATATGTGGCTGTGAAGATGGGACAATTTTCATTACACAGGCTTTGAATGCTGCCAAAGCAGGACTTCTAGAAGGCGGTTCTTTATTAAAAGGTCATTGAATTTTATTTAACCCTATTTATTTAATTTATTTAAGCTTCAACTTTAACAAGCTGTAATAAGAAGATTCCTGAACCTTAAAGAATTTGCTGCCATTTGCTAATTAATGTGTACATATTTTAATATTAAAGTAAAAACACCTAGTTTTTTTTTTTTAAGTCAAGTGGAAGGTTATACAATGAGAAATATGTCTCTTCTTCCTTGATCTTCCAGCTCCCTTCAACAAAGGCAACTGCTAATAAGTTTCTTTATACCCTCCTCAAAATTTTCTATGCATATACAAGTGCATACCAACATAGCAATATGCATTCTTTTAATAATATTACACAAATAGAGGCATAGTCTGTACACTTTACTGAAATCTCCTGAAGCATATCTTAATAAAGTATTTTGGAGCACATTCTTTATGAGTTCCATTTAAATGACTAATAATAATAAAAACTTTAATTTTAAAAAATCTCCTGTTAATAGGTGTTTCATTTTTTCTAGTCTTCGGCTACTGGAGGCAATGCTGAATTTACCATCTTTGCATATATATGTGGGGATATCTATAGTATTAATTCTCAGGAGTAGAATTACTGAATCGACATTTATGAGTATTTTTAATTTTGAAAATATATCTAACAATGGTCTCCAAAGAACATACATCTATGTATATGTATGTCCACTAACAGCCTATGAAAATGCCTTTTCCCCACACATGAGCCAACTTTGTGTGCATTTAAACTTTTTAGTATTTGCCAATCAGGAGAAAATGGTATCTTCCTGTTTCAATTTTTTATTTTTTTTGTTAATGAAATGTAGATATGTTCCTATACATTTTTATGCATTGCAACAGTGAATACCTATTAAATAAATACTGTTGTGTGGTAATTTGTCTTATGTAAAGGAAGGAATATACAGGAAGCGATTGAGATCTGGGGATGTGTAGATACTTGATATTTTTTAACTCATGGATCCTATTAGACTGCAAGGTCCTTAAGAGTAAAAGCCAACTCTCACCTTTTAAGACACATCTTGTTACTGTTCTCAGCTTACTTTTGCTACTTATTCAATGTTACTGTTTTATGTTCAGTGATTACCTAAGATAGAGGAGTAAATAGCAATGAACAGAGGACAGGTAATATACTGCTACACAGCTCAATAGCTGCTGTTAAAAGTTAGTGAAAAAGCTTAAGACCTTAGCACTTTTTATCTAGGCCAATTTCTTCTTATCCATAAAACAAGTACAAATCTACATTTGACCTGAACATTTGAATTAATATTCATCTTGCTTTGCTAAGGGATATAAAGTGAGGATGTGCCTCATGGAATAGAAGTAACTAATGATTCTTTAATAGACATAACAATGATTCTTTGGGACTCTTTTTCAATTTGAGTAAAGACGGTTTGTGGTCTGTGGTCTTGTCCATTTTTTTTTTTTTTTTAAGTTTTAGCTAATGATGACGTAAGAAGCAGTATGGAAACTGGGCATCAGTAGCCCTACGTTCTAGTACAGCTATGGTATGCAATATCCACATTCCTACCAAGTACTAGGGCTAGGAAATGAAGGGCATTATCATATTTATTCCACACAACAGTGTTGTGTGAAGTAAGTGCTATTATTATCCCAAGTTTTTCATGTACAGTACCTGTGACTTAGAGGGGAAAAGCAACTTGTCGTGGTGACCCGTCTAGTAAGGGACATACCTAGAAGACCAAAGCTGGATTCGTGTAACAGCAAAGCTCTGCTCTCAAACATTATGCCATGCTCTTTTACACTTGGATCCAAGTCGCTTAACTTCTCTGCACCTCTGGTACTTGATCGATAAAACAAAGAGATAAAACTAGGTGATCTCTAATATTTTTTAAGGCAAAATTGTTCTGTGAAACTATGCTTTTCTTTTATAATAGACTTGGTTATGCTTATTGGGAGGGCAACAGTGAAGTCCTGAGATTAATTTTTGTAGAAGCAAAATGTGTGAATTTTTCATTCTTTTAGAACAGCCTTTGCTGTTTGATGGCACTGGAATTGGTGCTAGCTAATTTTGGTGCTGGCTATCTTGCTAACTAAACTAACATTGGTGCTAGCTAACTTGCTAACATCCTTAAAGAATTAGCAGACTTCGAACAACCAGACTTCATCAAAAGCATGACCTAGCTTATGAGGAGGTACTTGCCTTTTGAGATGGTCCAAGGGTTGTTCATTCATTTTTTTAACCAACTGCCTAGCTTTAATTATACGTATTTTCTTTGCATTAAAATTTTATAAAAGAAAATGTTAGCACTATTTCTTGAGCAAAAAAAAATTTTTTTCATTATTTGGTGTTTGTTTTCCAGATTCCCTTCCTTACAAAGTTCTCAAAGGCCATCACCAAAGTGTTACTTCATTACTTTACCCACATGGTCTCTCTTCGAAATTAGACCAAAGTTGGCTTGTGTCTGGGGACCAGGACTCGTGTGTCATCTTGTGGAATATCTTCACTGAAGAAGTTTTGCATAAATTCTTTTTGGGAGCCGGTCCAGTAACAAGTCTTTTGATGTCACCAGAGAACTTCAGAGTAAGTTAAGACAAAGAGTAAAACATAACATAAATTTATGTTACATATTAAAAAAACATAAGGGCAATTAACCCATTTTCCCACAGAAAAAAGTTCTGTGTACCCATACTACAACTGGATAATTTTTATGAATTCCTTTCTAATTTTTATATGCATTATTATTATTACAACTTATGCAAATAATTTGATTCTAAAGCAAGGGTTTTGTCAATTCTTGTCTTTACGAAGACCAGTTAATTCTTACTTTTTTTTCTTTTTTTCCCTAATTCTATATCTTAATGGAATTCTCACTTTTATTTTTTTAATTATTCTTTAATAAAAGTAATAGACAATGTAGAAGCAATTCAAATATTTAGGAATCTATAAATTAGAAAATAATGTTTGCCTTGAATAATTTACTTTTATAATAATATTGATAGTTATATTTTCTTTTTCTTAAATAGGTTTTTTATTTGCTCTCTTTCATTTGTTTAACAAATTTCTGAGCATCTGCCTTGTGCAGGACAAAAGGAAATACTTTCAAATATAATTTTCACATGTAATATAAACTTAAATTCAGCTTCCACAAAGCTGACATCTTTGTTAAAATACGAACAATCAACTTTTGAGTTTCCTGAGTTTGTCAATCAGTTGACTGACTTGTCAAAATTATTTCTCTGTAATAATAACATTAAAAAATCAGCTGCAAAGTAAACTCAGAGAAAACTTACACTGTAATTTTGTAATAAGACATAATGAAGGAAATATTTCAGTAAAACAAATGATTGAACAAATCAGTGAAACCAAGTGAAGAGACTTTAAAAAAAGACTTCCATATGGTGATTTGGGATACTTTGATATGTCTTTTATTGCTGAAGTTCCCTCTTTTTCTTCTTTTTTTAAATCATTTTTCTTTTCCTCAAAGCTCCAGGACAGTAGTCAAAATCCTGACCTCTTTTACTTCTGCCTCAATCATAAATGACTTAACTCCAAACCAAGCCAAATAAGAAAGGAGTTTATTGAAAGGGCATAAGAGGCAATATTTTAGACATACAAAACAAAGTACTACAACAAGGACCCAGTGAAATTTGAACTTAAATTCAGGAACCAAGGTTATTTACTCTTCAAGTCCCCTACCCCAGGAGTCTGTTTTCTGTGATTGCTCCTTAATCTTACTTCTTCCTATGACCTCTTTTAGCTTTTCAATTTCAGATGCATAGAAAAGAGAATCTATTGGCCGAGTGTGGGTCTCTAGTGTATGTCGACCTCCAGCTATAGGATCTGTGTTCGCGTGTTACGTGTATGTTCACACTTTGTATGTGTGTATAAGTTTCCTGAAGTACGTTGGGCTCTCTGTTCTAGAGGCTGTGGGTTGTGCAGGTTCTCTAAGGGGTAGTAGTGAGGAGGCAGTGCCATCTGCCCTGTCCTACCGTCCAGGCTCCCCATACAGCACCCCTGCCATTTTGTGATTTTTCCCCCCCTCAGGATTTCTGTAGGCTCCTTAGAACGAATTAGGAAAAATAACTTGCTTCCCAGCACCCCACAGAAAGAGGTCAGTAATGGGCACAAGGAGATTCTCAAGGGATCCCAACTGATGGTTTAAACACAGCAGCTGAAACTCTGGCTAGGTGCCCTAGTGAAAGTAGGAGCATCCACATAGCAAAGCGGTTAGAAAAGAAACAAAGAGGTGAAAGAGCCACTACCCAGCTAACCCTCCTCCCCTCAGCCACCCCATCCACCCCCACCACCAGCTGACTAACACAGGGCCCTCTTGGTGAGGCACAGACCTGCCCTGTAAACTCCTCCCAGATTAGCCTCACAGCATCCAGCATGGTTGGTCTTTGTCCTAAACTGTGTTCAAGGTAACCACATGCTGACTTTTTAAAAAGTATCTTAAGAATCTTTGTCCCGTGAGCCTATTTTTGGTCCTTGTATCTTTGAAGCTGTGCATTCATTTGGAACTATCTAGTGCTTACCTCTTTTAGATTGTGTCTACACTGAGTTTCCTGTTTGGATTAGAATCTGAATAGTTCTGGGAACAGCACCAAATCACATTCTGAGGCTCTAAGTGGAAAATATCAGCTCACGATACCCTTGGGCCTAAGCTTGTGTCTACAAATAGCTTCTTTTTGTGGCAACAAATTAGTTCTGGGGTTTATTTTATTCTGCATTATTTCCAGTGTCTGCCTCACTGCCTAAATTTGCTGCGTGATGGTCAAGTCCTTCATTTATCTTATAAGTAGATTTGGCTTGGAATTCTCCTTTTTCACTTGTGTCTCTTGACCTTCGTAATAAGTTGTTGAATTTAAAATCTACTTGGTGTTTAAAGCTCCTCTTTACAGTGTTATGTGAAGAGGTCCTGTAGAAAGCAGAAATGTCATTTTGTAAATGGTGTTTAAACAAAATATTTTTATGTTACGAGGAGAAAAAATCAGATTTAATTTTAAGGAAAGCGTTTGATGATTACTTACAAATAATGCTGTTTTTGTTTTTTTGTTTTTTTTGGTTTTTGGGTTTTTTTCCCCACAGCTAAGAAGTGATCAGGTAATTTGCTGTGTGTGCAGTGACCATTCCGTGGCTCTCCTTCACCTTGAGGGGAAGAGGTGCCTCCTGCATGCCCGGAAGCACCTTTTCCCTGTGAGGATGATAAAATGGCACCCGGTTGAGAATTTTTTAATTGTTGGATGTGCAGATGACTCCGCTTACATCTGGGAAATTGAAACAGGTAAATTGGAATTTTACCCCTTTCATTCTTTATATGTTTATGCATCAAAGCATTTGGCTAGGTGGAGAGTTCCAGAGAATATGTGGTGACCACCTTACCTGCTCTAACCTTTGGTTAGGCTGCATTTCATGGCTTTGGTTGAAGGCATGTGTGGAAAATAAAACACAATGGCCTAAGTCAGAGCTTGACCAACTGATGATTAGCTGACAGAGCAGTGCGCAGGAATGAGCCGGATATTTCTGGAAGCTATAAATAAAAACATAAGTTATCTCACTTTAATTATTAACAAGAGAGAAATTTAGTGTCCTACCAGTCTCAAATTATCATTAAATTCTGCCTTCTTCAGCATACTCACCATCTCAGCAACATTTTGAGCTAATTGATGATCAGTAATAGTGGAATATAATTAATTACAAAACTCCAAAAAGTCGAGTCAGGGAAACTGAAAATTGAGTGGCTCAATTGAACTTTTGATGTGGTAGCGTAGAGAATGTACAGTGTGAACATTAAAGTTTTCGAAAAAGTTTTACTCTATAACTTAAGATTGAGAGTAACACATTTCAGGCAGATGCTGGGAACTTATCAAATACGGCAAGGTAATTAATGAATGGGAGTCAGGGGAGTGCTCCTGAGAGTACATTTTACTGAAGCCATTGCATGATTTTTATTGATTAATCAGTGGTGGTTTTATGTTGGGTGTTATTAACAGGCTGGATGGTTTATAATATTATAGAGTCATATTTCACCAAAATAATGGCTATTTTCTTTACATTTGACTTTCATGTGTTAATGATGATTACTAATGTACTGGTGTGTGGGTGCAATGTAATTCTGCCTTACATTTGTACCTTACTTTACAGCTTTGATGGCCTTCCATGTTCATTTCCCATTAGATTATCACAACTTCTAGGGTGGTGGAAGAGACTTTATTCCCCATTTTATTGATGAGGAATTTGTTAACTCTGATTTGTAGATGCACAAAATTACATTGCTAATAAGCGGCAAACCAGTATGAGGGCCCCATCTTTCTTTGCACAATGTGCACAAAATTAGGAGAGTTTTACAATTCTTTGGTAATCTATCAACCTGAGTGACAATTGAGTATAATGGATAAAATGAGCTCTAAAGCCTGGGCTTGCTTCCAGGACCTGCTAACAAAGGTTGGCCTCAGGCAAGCAATTTGGCTCCATTGCATGTCAATCTCTTCATCTATGAAATGGAAGTAATGATACCGCCTTCCTGTCAGGATTAAATTAACTAATACTGACCATGCTTGTAAACAGTGCCTGTAGGTGCTATGCCCTTAGTAATAGTTAGCTATTATTAATATGATAAAAGAAGGAAGCAAAATTTTGGCTTCTGCTTGTGGAATCTAAGTCTCTAAAACACATAAATATGTGCAATTGCATTGCTTTCAGTTGTGAAATTGTGAAGACTTGCTAATCAAATGTATTTTTTTCTAGAAAATAGAATCTAGCGAGAATAAAGAAATAGCGGGGCATTGACAAATGTTTACAGTTCCATTGCTCCATCAGGATACCTCTCAGCCTATGCAACTTTTTACTTATGTATTTTTTGATGGGGTGGGCAATAAAAGAGGAAGCCAAACCACTAGTACTTTTTTTTTTTAAGATTTTATTTATTTGAGAGAGAGCACGTGCATAAACGGTGGGGAGGGGCAGAGGGAGAGGGAGACGGAGAAGGAGACTCCCCACTGAGCAGGGAGCCTGACATGGGGCTCCATCCCAGGACCCTGAGATCATGACCTGAGCCAAAGGCAAACACTTAGTCAATCAGGAGCCCCAAACACTAGTACTTCTTGAAACTGTATTTATTCCACATTTTCTTTTAATTTTATCATTTATTTTTATACTCCCCAATCCATAACCAAATATTGCAGAACATTTGAAAAATATAGAGAAAAATAAAGAAAAATAAATAATCCTGTCCCACTTCCTAAAGATAACTGCTATTAATATTTTGATCTACTTTCTGTCAGAAATCTTTCTATGTCAATAAATAGATGCCAAAATTGTGTTTCGGTCATGGTCCTGGCAGAAAATTGAATTTAACCCAGGTGGGCCAAATGGAGAGACTAATGAAAGGGCTATTTATAAGGGTGTGGATAGGACTTAGGGAACTGAGAAGGAATGGATAGTGAGGCCTCCATCGCCCGGACACTGGCAGTATCAGGAAGCTCTCACCACTTGCCTAGGGCTGAAGCAACAAGAGGATATGAATAGTGTTAGTGGCCCCATGTGAGAGTGGAAACTGTGGAGGAATGGTCACTCCCTGAAGTCATGGCAGAGAAAACGCTCCTCCCAGAGATGCAGGACTGAGACAAAGAGTTGGAAGAAATTATTTTCTCTGTCCTTCTGCAATCACCTTCCTTAGTTTGATCCAAGTGGAAGTCAGAGAGGAAGGACATTTCAGTTCTAGGCATTAGCCAAGGGCCGGAGCAGACGCAGAAGAGCAGGGAAAGGGTGGAGTGGGTGGTCAAATGGACAATAATTGGCATCGTGGCCATGATGGACACATCATACTTTAGCTCAGGAATCTTCTGTAATTGGTTATGCACATTTTTTCCTATAAAAAAGTTTGTTTTAGAATCTCCATATCAAATAATGTGTACACATTTAGTGCCAAATGTAAAATACTTACTTCACATGAGGCTGTGAGGCTGTTTATCTCATGGTTATCTACACTAATACTTTATAAACAACCTTAACCTTAACTCAACTAAGATGGAACTTATAATGGTGAAAATATTACTAATAATTATGGAAATTCCTTCACATTTGTTTTGTGCCCTTTCAGTTTTTCAAAACATTGTCCCATTAGCAATTTCATTTGAACCCCCCCAACACTGTGCCCATGACTGACACCCTGACTTTGCTCACCATTCACCATGCTTATCCTTTTTGGATAAATTTATGCCATACCTTTTAGTCTGTGTCTATTACTGGCTTTGTTTTGGGTTGCCTTTAACCTCTGCAATTCCAGTTTCGTTTAGAATTGAATGAACAACTTTTTCTTTCTCAAGCTGGATTTCATGTGGCTAAGATTCTTCCATCTCATTTACTGTGCTAGATTTCTGTTTCATCCTCTTCCTGTAGAAGTGGGAAAATCCAGATCAAGAAGCTTTTCCGTTTATAGTTTCATACAGTTAGAGGAAAAATACCAACTAAGACCAAAACAATTAGGCAGAAAAGAGGCTATGAGGCTATAGAATGTGCTTGCTCACTGATGTGCCTGGCACATGGATCAATAAATGAATGAATGAATTAACACAAATTTTCTTGGATCTCAGTAGATTGAGTACAAATGAGCTCACCTTAACATTGGCCCATGTAGTGGCTTTTAGATCATGGCTGGCCAACTGCAGGTAGATCCTCAGCTTTCTCCTCCAAGTCTCCCTTAGGGTTTCTGGAGTTCACGGGGCCTGTCTCATCTCCTCGGGTATAAGTCTGTGTATTTTCTACTCCAGGTAATTTTTCCGGGATTTTTCCTTTAAGCTTTGCTAGAAGGTTCAAACTTCGTTTCATATGTGAACAGACCTACTCCCTGCTCCATTTCTCCAGTACTCTGACTCCTCTAAATACCTGAAGGAGGGATAAATTGACACTAAGGCATCTTTCAGCACTAGAGCAATCCCAAAGCTTATAGAGAGAAAATAGGAGGTGTCAGTGGGATAGGGATTTGCGGGAAAGGGGCCTAGAAAGAAAAGGTGGGGGGAGGGGAATGAAGCTAAAAAGTAATTAATTCTCAACTGGGCCAAATACCCACTTTGGTGGAAGGTTGGAGTGTGGGGTACAAGTCAGTCCCTGAACCACCTTCCCCAAGTGTAGAAGATAGAATATGAGACTTCATCCATTTTTCACAACACTTTAAAACTTCATTGAAGAGATTTATTTATTCATTTATTTAGTCTTTTGGGTAGAATGCACAAGCATATTCTAGAGCCACATACCCCCATGCCTGTTTTATCTTGAAATCGTAAGAAGTGTTTCTCACTGTGACAGGTGGCATGGTCAGATACATGCCAGGGTAAAGTTTGGGGTCACAGGTGGGCATGCTTATCTCCCAGGAGAGGCAAACAACCAAAGCAGAGAAGTATTTATGTAACAGCGAAGGCCTCATCTTCTGGCTAAAAATGCAGCGCTGCCAGGTTGGGAGTGATGAGGGCATCTAGTTTCTCTTATTGATTTGCCGGATGTCCCATGATGTTTAGGCCTGATTAGGAAGGGAAAAAACTGGAGATGTCATTTTGATTAATATTTGAGCTCCCACAATGTGTTTGGCACTGACAACCCTGGGCGGCTTTGTCACCCTCATTGCTGTGAGACACAATAGGGATAATGTAATACTGATTTTTTACCCCTAAAATACACACCAGAAATAAATCTCAGCTCTGAGCTCATTATTCTTTTAAGAATTTAATTTAAAATAATTCTGAGTACTTTTCTGTTCACCGTGCCGGATTTACATAGCAGAAAACTCGTGCGATGAATTTCTCACATGTTACTAATAAAACAGTTGTTACTACTGAAGGTCTTCTTTTAAGCTTATGGCCTATGTTGTGAAATATGCCATATTAAGCAGTTTGTGTGTGTGTGTCTTTGTATGCGCGTGTGCACGCACACATGGGTGTGTGTGTGTGTGTGTGTGTGTGTGTGAAAATGAAACCTTACTTGCTTGAAAATGAAATTCAGTAAGATAGATCAGAAAAACTCCTGTAAAGAACTGGAGAGTGAAGTTTTTAAGCTTTGCGGGCCACATGATCTCCTACCGAGCTCTGCCTTTGTGGCACAGGAGAAGCCATAGATAATATAGAAAGGAGTTGGTGAGGCTGTGTTCCAATAAAACTTTATTTACAAAAGCAGGGAGCAGGCTGGATTTGCCATGCAGGGTGCTTTATAGACTTCTAAGAAGGATGGCAGTTCTTTTTAAAGATCATGATTTTCATAATAACTCATGCTAAAGCAATTTATAATTTTTAA